AAGTCATGTCACCATCTCCAAGCTTCCACAGCTCAGAAAGCAAGATAGACACAACTTTACTTCCAACTCAGTCTGCTGAACTAAAGTACACAGGTTTGCTGTCACATCACTTGCTGAAAACATTTGGTTTTCAGATACAAAACAACCATAGAAAACATACACCAGGGAACCAACCTGTGCTAGGAGAAGGACAGTCCGACTCTTCATGAACCGAGAGCAGCTCTTCTTCATCCCTAATCTCTGAGAGTTAGTCAGAAGTCTCAATGAGTCTTTAAAGAACCTCTTACAAACCCAGCCTATTTCTTATAGATGAAAAGGCTGTACATGAAATCCAGGCATGTAATCTGCTTTACCTGGCCAGTTTTCCCTGAATTTGACTCGTGCCTTCTTTAAAGTCTTTCTCCCTTCCAATAGCTGTCTATCTGCTCCTAATGCAGGACATTCGATGAACTGGTCGGGTTGTCATTGCTGCATGGAGAATGACTAAGGTTTGTGGCTGGGACTCCTTTCAAAGCAACGTCACAGTACACAACACAGCAGGCATTTTAAGAAGTAATTTCCTGATATCTCTCATCAAGTAACTCTATTTTTCCCCTCCACAGGATCCAATTTCTCAGCATGTCACTCCAGCAAGTGGCCTAACTTGTTCTGTCAGCATGATTCATTCTGTTTGGATTAAACAAAGGGTCCTGAAAATGGTAACTAACCAGATAAAAATGAGGGTTGTAATTGCAACGGAATGATATTCACTGCCTTTGATTTAATTGCCAAGGGAAAACTACCTGAAAGTTACTCTGATAGGCCAGCAGGCTGGCTGCTTTTCAGAGATTCCCAGAGTTCGAGCAGCCCCATATGTAACAGGAATATTTATAGGTAGATGATATATCACAGCAGCATTGCAGGTTGCATGCAATGCAGTACTATCGGCAAAGTGTTTTCTGATTAAAGTCCTAGCCCCACTGGTTCAAGCTTTTAAGGAACAGGATGCCATTTGCTTACAAAGCTCTGCCTTATATGCACAGAAATACAACTTTGTAACAGGACTCCAAGTTCATTTCATAAGAGCCTGTGGAAAAAACTACATCATTAAATCCAGTGTGAAAGCATCGGGTAAATACTCAACCGGAGATGTTAGGGCTGGTGGCCAGTCACGCTTCCTAAGTGGTTTTTTTTCCCTTGCCCCATTCATAATTTACAGTCACGTCATTGGAAGTCTTATTGTGCCGGATTTTTACCTTTTCAGAGAGATCTGACTGGGTTACTCTTTGGATGAAGCAAGCCTACAGAAGTCTATGCACCACACAGGGTTGTTAATGAGTCAGGAGGTGGTAACCTGGTCTCTGAGTTGGTTGGTATGATTTGTAATGGCCTCAGGGCCAAAGATTACCATGAGCTGTGCTGGGCGCTGCCCAAAGCTACTGCCAAAGCCTCAGAGAACTTCAATGTGAAAAGGAGCAAGAACAGATGAAGGGCTGGGGCTGAGGCTGTGACATAGCAGCAAATGAGCATGGAGTGGTTTAGCTCTGCTTTGTTAATGCCCCAGTTGGCTGGCATTGGGAATTAATAGTGAACTGAATGCTCAGCATGGCATTTGGGAACACAATGCTGCTGACGGCCCCATCTTCACCACTGTGCAATTGGGACAGTTTTACTGTCGGGAGCAATAGTTACTTGCTAACTTCCCACTTAACCCTGCACAAGGGCTCAGGGCTGCAGTGGGGAGAGCTCTCTCCCTCAAGCCCTGAAGCTCTCGGGGGCTCCTGCACACCATTCCCCAGCCTGGAGCCCCTCCCCAAACCTGGAACCCCCTTCCCACACCTTCCATGCCCAGCCCCACCCCAGAACCCCACCCCCAGCGGGAGCCCTCAAACTGCTTCACCTCAACCTTTTGTCCCTTGAAGCGGAGGGGATACTCAGAACCTCTTGGCCCTACTTCTGCCACATGAATTTTGTTATGTGCACTCATAGGAGGGTAAGGGGTCACACATCACGTCCATGTGACACATCACCTCCACACTGGTGCACGTAAGAAAATTCATTCCACTCAGGGGTGGGTAAAAATAGAGGAATCACTGGTTATCTGCCCTCCGTCTGTGGGAGTCCTATCAGAAGGGTCACAGCATGAATACAGAGCAGGTGGGTGAACTGCAGCATGGCCACTGGGCCTGCAGCATCGCCAGGGCAACAGAGGTTATAGAACTGGTCCCAAAGGGCAGCCAAAGTGGTTGCCCGGAGACCTGCAGGTTGGGAATGGCTTTCCCCTGAACCTTTGGGCACCGCCATGCATGGGAGAAAGGCCCCAGTGCTGGTGCTGCTCCAACCCATAAACTGAGGGAGTTAAAAGTAACCATCCATTGCCTTTATGCTCACCCCTAAAAGCTAAAAGTAGAACCAAGTCTTACAAAGGTGATTTGATGAAAGCAGCGGTGACCAGCAGGAAACAGAAACTGGCTCCATCTAGGTTTGCAGACCACGAGCAGGACAGAGAAATTAAAGTTACATGGTACATGATCCTGAATGCCCAAAACCTCTGCCCTCCAAAACCTAATTCAATAAGCAGTTCACACAAATGGCAGGTCCAGGGTGGGAACAACGCCAGTCTTAATTTGCACAGTATTTGCCAAATCTTTTTTATTTATTATTTTTAAACTGTTGAAATGTCTGGGCACAAAGTATCTCATTCAACACATTTCACTGTGTTGTTTTATAGGAAGGAAAGGTAAATTCCGTAAATCCTCTGGTTTTGTCAGGCTGGGCCAGATCCAACACTCAGTGAAATGAGTACATTGACTCCAGTGGGCTTTGGATCAGGTTTGCAATGCCCCCGGCAGCTGTTTCTGACCCTGCCTGGCTTTACTTTGCAAGCTTTGGCACCAAACAGTGAGGATGGACCTTCCATGGGAGGTTACATTTGTTGTGCTCGTGGGAAGGTACCTGTCAAATGCCAAACTGGATCCATATCCCAATCTCTGCCAGAGTCCGGGATATTAAATTGGGCAGCTCCCTCAATCTCTCCACTTGAAGCTGTTCCACAGGGGATAAACAATAAAAGACTGCTTGCCCCCTTTTTGCTGGAAAATTATTGTAACATTACATTTTAATAAGATCAAAATGTTGTGTTTTGATTGATTATATTACTATATTATGGAAAAGTCAAAATAATCAAGTGGTGATGGAATGCTCTGCCTGTGTCAAATTTCAGAACTTCTGTTTCAGGATGGAAAGTTTGTTCTGATTTGGAATGAAAGAAATTCCAAAATGTTGGCTATTCCTGGGGCAGAGGATGGCTGGTTTTCAGCCAGCTCCTGTCATAAATAGGTGTAACTGGCCTAGAATAGCCTTTAGGACTTGCTGGGAGCAGTCTAATGGAAGGTACTGTCCTTCCTGAGAACCCCAACAAGCAGGAAAGAGCATTTGCAGCTACAACTTGTAAGTGTTGCTGCTTGCCTGGAACCTCCATGAGAAGCCAAATCTTTTGGTTAGTTTGGAAGAGAGACAGGGCATTGCTTATTTCAAGTGCCTAATGGTGCTGTTCGTACTAATTGCATGCAGGCCTTGCACCCACCAAAGGCAAGATGATCAGCCCTTACATGGAGGTTGTAAAGTGAGCCAATGTTTCATGCACCTTTCCACGTTCACTCCACATCCCCACAGTCGATCACCATGATCTGACCAAGCGAGGGCCTAGCCCACCGACTCCCGCCACCTCTTATTCCTCACTATTAAAAAATACTCAGTGTTGTGTGAGTAGCTCCTGGAAGGTATGAGCACGTTCCTAAAAGCACTGAACACTCTCACCTCTCATCGGCTCTCACAGGGATAGCCAGGGACCTATGCCTGTCTCAGCTGTGCTAACCATGGCCAGTGTTCTCATTTCAATGCAGCTGTCTGGTTATTTTTTGAGATATCCATCATCGCCATGGTACCCAAGTGCCTATTTGTTGGCACGCTTATTGCCCTGGGCAGTCAGTGAGCTATTTTGTGTCTCAGACATCTATAAGGAAAATTCTATTTTCCTCATCTATTTCCAGCATCTGAGAAGAAAGAAAAGCTGGGAGAGAGGAATTAGGAGAAGCTAGAGCAGGGGTGGGCAAGATCCGGCCTGCAGGCCAGATCCAGCTCACCAAGCCTTTGTAGCCAGGCCACTTCCTTCCAGGACCCTCCGACAGGCTCCCTGCCTGCCACAGTCCCTGGCCACTCAAAGTGGCTGGCTGCTGGGGCCATTTGCCTCTAGACACCACACACCCCTTGCAGAAGCAGGGGGAGACTAGGTAAGTGCCTCCCAGCCAGAGTCTGCCTCTGGCATCCCAACTCCCTGCCCCAGGTCACAACTTCCTCCCAAACTCTGCACCCCCTCCTACACTCCTACTCCTTATCAGAATCCTCTCCTGCACCCATACCCCTCCTGGATCCTGCACCCCAATCCTCGGCCCCAGTTCACAACCTCCTCCTTCTCCCAAACTCCGTCTCAAACTCCACACTCTAACCTGCACACCTATCCCAAGCTCCCTTCTGCACCCAAGATCTGTCCCAGAACCCACACCCCCTCCACAGGAAAGTGCAGCCTGTGACCGCTTACCAAAATCTTGGAGTGGCCCCATCCATCAAAATTATTGCCTGCCCCTGAGCCAGAGACTTAAAACCACATTTGTAAAGGTTCTGAGGTACCTAAATATATGGATAGGCATCTACAGGAATTTTCAACAATGCCTCAGTACCTAACTCTCAAAAAAATTGAACTTAATAGGAATTAGACACTGAGGCAGTATAGAAAAAAAAATCACACTCAGTGCCTTGCAAAATCTTTAGGTACATTACTGCATAAAGGATTGTGACTAGAGGGCTGCAAAAAATTTCAGCTGCAGCTTTTCTTGTTACCTAAAAGGGCAGATTAGGTTTGATGGCAACATTTCATGGAATAGTAGGACTGGAAGGGACCTTGAGAGGTCATCGAGTCCAGTCCCCTGCCCCCATGGCAGGACCAAATACTGTCTAGACTATCCCTGACAGACATTTATCTAACCTACTCTTAAGTATCTCCAGAGATGGGGATTTCATGCATGGGGAGTTTGGCAAATTGGCTTAGTTGAAAACAAACAAATCAAAAGTTTTGAAAATATCAGAATGAACCACTTTGATGCTTACAAAATGAAATATTTTGATTTTCCAGGATAGCATCATAAGGGGATGTAGGCATCATTCACAAAACTAATGAGGAAGTGAGAGTATGTCCCTCTGATAGTCAATATTTCTGCATTTAAACACTCATCTGGGTTGTGAGAGATCCAAGTTCAACTTTGTGCCTCAAAATGGGATTTAACCTTTTGTCTGCCACGTCCCAGATGAAAGCCCTAACCACAGGAGTGTTGGCCATAAGGAGAGCTTAGTCATCACTTCCTTCTCCCTTAATTTCCTTTCCTTTCCTTTTTTTTTTAGGTTTAAAATGCCTGAAATTAAGTATTTTACTTTGGGACAAATGAAGCCCTATTTTTATGCTGAAATGAATTTAATTGCCACTT